CACTTTGCCAGTAAATCTGCTCCTGAATAAGTAACATGACTTCTGTTTTCATTTTCTGATCAGAAGGTAAATAAAAGGCATGCTCATCATTCAAGTATACAGTCATGTATGGTCTATTTTCATAAATCCTTAATCTATATGTTTTTCAACCTTAGAAATCTGAATTGCTATGGCGGCATATCAAAGTCATTAAAGTCTCTAAAAGATGCTAATCTGTGTATTTCAAGTAGCTTACACTTCAAAAACATCACCAAATCATCTGCTGATTTTCACTGTACATTCCCATAAACTTTAACCATGAATTATTATGTGGGAACCTTACCCTTGAAGATTCATATGAAGGACTTGGCTGACCGCTTGTTCCCCAGGATGTGGCACCTGTTCGCTCATCCATACCTAGCAATAAAAAAAAAAAAAAACACAGACCTGTAAGAAAAGATAGCAAAAGCATAACCTTCTCTAATGCAACCTGAAAGCAAATTCATCCTCTTCCATACACTTAAAGTAAATTCATCTGCTTCCGTATACTTAAAGCAGTATTTCTAAAAACACTTCAAATGACGGTTTCCGTGTTAATAAAGCTAGCTACAAAGCAACCTGCTCATTTGGACACCTGCAGCTGCTGAAAACACAAGTAGAAAGAGTCAAGAAGATTTGCCAATCTGCAGTGTCTGACCTACTCAATCCATAAGAAAACAGCACGGGTTAACAGAACAAGGACAACCACGTTAGCCTGGCTTTTTGCACAGTCTGAATTATTCTGCATCTTAAGTACTGAATGTTGCAGCACATACTGTGAAACACACACTTGTTATCTACTCTTTGCTCTCATGTCTTGCTCAAGTATTGCAGAACGTGCAAAATTATTTCCCCTACTTGGTCTTTACATGACATGCAAGATATTTTAGCATAAGGGGGGAAAAAAGGCAAGACAGACTGGTTACATTTCAATGGCTTAAAAAAAAAAAAACCAACCACCAAACCAAACAACCCACAGAGACTGATGGTGTCTGCTTTGCTAAAACAGGAATCTTTAACTGTGTAACGGTTCTTTTAGAATCAGTTCCCTTTATGCAAATCCAGGTTACAGCTCAAAAGAGAAAGAGGAAGGAAAAAATAGGGAGATCTTTAAACTCTATACCAGAAGATATATTCCGTGTATTATTTAGCCAATGACCAGAAATTTTTTGCCAACACTTTCTCCATTTACTTTCTAGCCAAAGTTAACTGGTCAAACCATCTTTAAATCACATTCCAAAACAACTAGTTGCAGAAGCACCTGAATTCCTATAGCCAATTCATGCATATAGGATAAGGTTACTATTCTAGTAATCAGATTCCTCATTATCTGTATCACAAGATCTTTTTATTTTTTTTTAACAAGTGGACCAATTCCTAAATTGCAGACTTCAACATCCTTTGGCCTACAAAACAAAAGTAACTTGTCCCCTGTCACCCAAATTTCTCATAAAGAGTTTTGATATATAGTATAATTTTTTTACGTGATGTATAGTATCAACTATTTATGAAGCCTTATAATGTCATAATTTATAAATAAGAAGTAAGTGTCACAATTTATGAACAACAGCTGAGTGCAAGTTACTCCATACAATCATCTCTAAACCCTGACTTTATATTGCGACTATAAAATTTTCATGCATATCTCTCAGACTGGTCACAGTACAAAATAAAATGCAAGGAAATACTGTAAATAACTACCTATGCAGTAATAGTATTCTAATCATTATTTCCTTAAGAAATGTGTTTTATGAAACTACAAAACACTATTTTGACAGAGACAGCCTGCAGAAGGCATGTTACATTGAAAGCACAGCACCATCACCCAGAAAAAAATATAGACACCTTTTGTGTCGAGCGGGAAAGATCTTCAAGGCTGGAGAACGCGCTTTGAAAATGCAAAACCACAACTATATTGAGCCAGCAGTTTGTGGAAGTTTGCTGCATTTCGCAGCTGACAGCATTATTGTTGTTGTTTCATTGTAACTGATCCAGGAGCTGAGTAAAAGGTCGTGGCTGGCACTGCCAAAGGCAAAAGTAATCTTTTGGCACAACTGACTCTTTTCTGCCAGAAACAACAGCGCTAGTAATCCAGTGATTATCATAACAAGTCTTCCATGGCTTTAGTTTCAAAAGAGACATATAGCAAGGGGAGGGGTCAGCACTGAGAGAAAAGAAAAATATCTTACTGCAAGACAAAGTCCTTGGGAAACTCTAAGACACAGTACATCATATCAACCCATTCAGGAAATACATCAGTAGATACCAGTTATACATAGAGTGTTCAGATGCACGACCCCTAATCAGTAAAAAACAGACATTTAAAAATCTGAGTCAGTGGGACTTATGTTAAGGTTCTGCTAAATCAGCACATGTATAGCTAAAAATTCTCATATTTTATTTCTACCATTGGAAGTACGCAAATAAATTGTTTAAATAAACTGCTCTAAACCAAAATGTAATGGTTTAAGATGGGGTAGAAAGTAGTTTCTCAGCAGTTCTCAGAATTCTTTCTTCTAAAAAAGCCCGTACAGTTAGCTAGAGTAGTCAGGAGTATCAACACACTTCCTTTTTTCTGCCAGGTGTCTTTTTCCTCGTTTTCATGCAACATTTTTTCTTTTCTTACAAGCCCAAAACAGGCTTGCATCCAGACCTATCCTTTAATCAGAATTTGCAGACGAGGCACATGCAATCATGCTTTAGAAGCTCCTTGAAGGCTACAAGGAAGAATTTCATACACTGCATACAGAACACCGGCACTCTGATCTACTACCACTTGACATCTGGATTTGACTTGGAACGACACCTCTGCTGCCCGCAGCCCCCATCAACAGAACACAGGCAAAAGAGCGGAAAACCAGCTAGCCAACAACCCTTGACCGGAAAATCAGATACGTGTCTATGATGGCGCTCAAGGAATCTGTTCTGGTTTGCATACTAATGTTTTTTCCACCCATGACAGATGAGAAACAACCAAATGCTGCAAGAGATAAAGACCCAGACAAACTCTAGCAGGCTGGGCACAAATGAGCAACGTGTACTTTAAAACAGCCAAAGGTAGCTCTACATGAATGAGCCAGGAACGTAAGAAACATCATCCAGATGGGAGAAGAGCCTGAAGTGGAGAACACACAGTAATAAGGAATGCAGGAGTCATCCATGGTAATAAATTCCATAAAGTCTCAAAGCAAAAGTGTCATCCAAAGGGTTCAAGCATTTTCCTGGGAGATGCAAAACAGAATGGAGGAACCAGAGGGATCATCACCTTCGTAGAACCCCTTCCACAAGGAAATGCGGTGTCCGATTCCAGTATCCACTAATTCATCAGGGACATTGAAGAGCACAGGAAAGCTGTGGCAGTTGGCAGAGCACTGGAAAACACCCTGCATAGGGAAAGGCTGCAGTATCTCACTCCGTTTAGGCAATGCAGAGGGGGGCAATTTAACAACCACATGTTATGAAGGTCTAACAACACATACACGCAGTCAGGCAGACTTTTAGTCTTTTTTCAGTAGGCACTGAGGAGGGAAAGCAATTGAAATGACTCATGAACTGATTTCATAGTTCTCAATCAAAATCGGCTACTTCTACAGCAGATATGCTGTAGCTGAACCAGGGAGCGACTGGGTAAGTTTGATGCCTCTTTGAGCGGGCTCAGCGGGCAGCCTGCGGCTGGCCTGGCTCCACGGCACTCACAACTGCTGTGCTATGCCAGGGAGGACTGGCAGGACGCCACCGTGCAGACCGAGCACAGCCCGAATTTGGGACCCCGACCAGGCCACAGGAAAGGCTGAGTGTTCCTCACTTACCTCGGGAAGATCAGGCCAAGCAGTCACAAGGATGCTTTGTGGCTTTATGCACTGAATTCTGAAAAATCTTTGCTTAACATCACTTTTAAGATGGCACTGTGAGCACTTCAAGCTCTTCTAGAGGAAGAGCTGAAGAAACCAGTTGCCTCTGTACTTCAACATATGTATTCATTCTGAAGAACAGGTCCAAACATTCATTTAATAAAGAAATTGGATCTTACAATCAAACTGAAAGTTGTTGTTCTTGCTGGTATAAGACAAAGACGACAGTATTTAAAAATTATTTTCAAGAGACACAGGCTCTAATGTTAGTGTAAACAAGATACTATACTTTACAGGGTTACCATCTGCTATGATGTTGATCAAATAAATGATTTGACCAAAAAAGAAAAAAAAAAAATAAAAAATCACATTGTAGATTGTTATACTAGGTACTCAAGGTATGAGTTTCTATCTTTTATAGCTTCTTTATCCAATTTTGTTTCAGAGTAATGATATTCCTTCAGATAAGATTCAACAACTCAAATGAATGACAAAAAAACCTCGAACACAAACCGTAACAGTGTTGATTGTATTTTGCATCTTAGACACCCAAACAAATCAATCTACCATTAGAGTCTATATTGCAAAGGTCTATTGTGAAGTATGATACAAATTGTTACCTAAAATTATATTTTAGGTCTAGACTTTCTAGTAAGGGGATGCAAAGGGAAATATTATTTGATGGTGAAATACTATCTCAATTAAAAATTTTAAATTTCAATAGGTTAAGACTAGTTCTCAGCCTGTTCTTGTTGATTCCAAATAGTAAATTTCTCATTTTATAGTAGACTTAGTATTTTCAATAACATAATAAAATCATTTATATTCTAACAAAGTACCTGAAATTTGAAAGTCAGATAAACAAGTAAAGACAAGACACAGTTCCACACATTTATTACCGGGGGTGGGGGAAATACTCAAAACCAAAAGCAGCTTTGACAATAGATGTCATGTGGTGGGCTTAAAATATACAAAGTGAAGGGCATTAATCAAATTGAGAAGAGAAATGAAACCCAGGCAACCTATCCACAGCCTAACCACTTAAGTGCCATTGGGATAAATTCAAATGCAACATCATAATTAGGTAAAAGACAAACCATGTTCATCTCTAACTATATAAATAGTGGGCTTTCACTCCACCCACCCCTGCCCCCAAAGGAAAGGCAAGGGGAAGTACTTCAAGAGTGGCAGAGGGGGAAAAAAACATGAGAAATTTCAAATCTCAATCCATACTGTTTCTTGGAGAATGTACCAGTTGCTTTACAGCATATAGATATGAAGTTCCCCCCATTCCTCCAGACCAAAAATAAAAAGTTCCTTCTCAGTAACTAATTGTTTATTAGAGACACCAGTGGGAGTGGCAGAGCACTATTCCTTTTTGTACCTTTTGCTCCAGAGAAGATCAATGGAAATGCTGTGAATATGTCTCAGAAACACTGTCTTGAGTCCGAGTTGCCTGATACAAACTCTAGACTCCACAATTCCTTCAGGAAACTTCCTGAGATAATTTTATTTATTTGTATGATG